GTATAATTTGTTAGTGAAGAAAAACTATACCCCCTTAGGTTCATTGTATGGGGGCCTATGAATTAAACTGTAAAAAAGATTAGCAAGAGAGAAGATAGGTTTTTATTTATGAATGTACATGTGAGTTCACAGAAAATGTGACTCTCCAGGTGAAATGGGAGTTTATACACCTAATTTAATGGGAATGGGTAGAGGGAAGAAAAGTCTTCGATGGAAAGAACAAATGACTTTGTATTTTTTTTTTTTATACTTTAAGTTCTGGGATACATGTGCAGAACATGTAGGTTTGTTACATGGCACATACATGTGCCATGTGGTTTGCTGCACCCGTCAACTCATCATCTATATTAGGTATTTCTCCAAATGCCATTCTTCCCCTAATTCTCCATCCCCAACAGGCCCCGATGTGTAATGTTCCCCTCCCTGTGTCCATGTGTTCTCATTGTTCAACTCCCACTTATGTGGGAGAACATGCTTTGTGTGTTTTTCTGTTCCTGTGTTAGTTTGCTGAGAATGATGGTTTCCAGCTTCATCCATGTCCCTGCAAAGGACATAAACTCTTCCTTTTTTACGGCTACATAGTATTCCATAGTTTATCTAGTCTGTCATTTGGATTGGTTCCAAGTCTTTGCTATTGTGAACAATGCCACAATAAACATACATGTGCATGTGTCTTCATAGTAGAATGATTTATAATCCTTTGAGTATATACCCAATAATAGGATTGCTGGGTCATATGGTATTTCTGGTTCTAGATCCTTGAGGAATCCCCACACTGTCTTCCACATTGGTTGAACTTACACTCATACCAACAGTGTAAAAGCATTCCTATTTCTCCACATCCTCTCCACCATCTGTCTGACTTTTTTTTTGAGACGGAGTTTCACTCTTGTTACCCAGGCTGGAGTGCAATGGTGCGATCTCGGCTCACGGCAACCTCCACCTCCTGGGTTCAGGCAGTTCTCCTGCCTCAGCCTCCTGAGTATCTGGGATTACAGGCACGTGCCACCATGCCCAGCTAATTTTTTGTATTTTTAGTAGAGACAGGGGTTTCACCATGTTGACCAGGATGGTCTCGATCTCTTGACCTTGTGATCCACCCACCTCGGCCTCCCAAAGTGCTGGGATTATAGGCTTCAGCCACCGTGCCTGACCTCTTCTTTTCTGACTTTTTAATGATCACCATTCTCACTGGCGTGAGATGGTATCTCATTATGGTTTTGATTTGCATTTCTCTAATGACCAGTGATGATGAACTTTTGTTGGCCACACAAATGTCTTTTTTGAGAAGTGTCTGTTCAAATCCTTTGCCTACTTTTTGATGGGGTTGTTTGTTTTTTTCTCATGAATTTGTTTATGTTCTTTGTAGATTCTGGATATTAGCCCTTTGTCTGATGGGTAGATTACAAAAATTCTCTCATCTGTAGGTTGCCTGTTCACTCTGATGACAGTTTCTTTTGCTGTGCAGAAGCTCTTTAGTTAAATTAGATCCCATTTGTCAATTTTGGCTTTTGTTGCCATTTCTTTTGGTGTTTTAGTCATGAAGTCTTTGCCCATGCCTATATCCTGAATGGTATTGCCTAGGTTTTCTGCAAGGGTGTTTATTGTTTTAGGTCTTATGTTTAATTCTTTAATACATCTTAAGTTAATTTTTGTTTAAGGTATAAAGAAGCGGTCCAGTTTCTGTTTTCTGCATATGGCTAGCCAGTTTTCCCAACACCGTTTATTAAATAGTAAATCTTTTCCCCATTGCTAGTTATTGTCAGGTTTGTCAAAGATCAGATGGTTGAAGATGTGTGGCGTTATTTCTTAGGCCTCTATTTGTTCCATTGGTCTATATATCTGTTTTGGTACCAGTATCATGCTGTTTTGGTTACCGTAGCCTTGTAGTATAGTTTGAAGTCGGGTAGTGTGATGCCTCCAGCTTTGTTCTTTTTGCTTAGTATTATCTTGGTTATGTGGGCCCTTTTTTGATTTCATATGAAATTTAAAGTAGTTTTTTCTAAATCTGTGAAGAAAGTCAATGGTAGCTTGATGGGGATAGCATTGAATCTATAAATTACTTTGGGTAGTGTGGCCATTTTTATGATGTTGATTCTTCCTATCCATGAGCATGGAATGTTTTTTTATTTAGAACAAATGGCTTTCTAGGGGAACATGGGAGATAAGAAAGTTTATAATGATATTTGTTTATGCAGATGTGAGTGGTCTTCTCCGTCTTTTTTCCAGTAAATCTCCCATGAAAAGGGATGTCTGGAAGCCTTAACTCCCAGAAGTTTCTGTCTTCAGTCAGTTAAGAAAGGTCTAAAAAGTCTTTGGTCTTTATTCATTTAATCTCAGATGTATTTTTAGTTTAAAATAATCTTCATAGTACCTCTGGAAGTCTAAGTGGTCCCCACAAATTTATATATTGTTTCTTAAGCATCTAGTAATGCCAGCTGACTTACCTAAAAACACTTTTATGTTTTTCCATTGTTCTTAGTTTGAGTATGGAATTCCTTAACATTACCAGCAAGACCTTGCATGATCTATTGCCTAAGTTTTTTTGAATTTAAGTTCTGGGATACATGTGTAGAATGTATACTTATTACATAAGTATACGTGTGCCACGGTTGTTTGCTGTACCTATCATCCCATCATGCATTAGGTATTTGTGCTAATGCTCTCCCTCCCCTTGCCCGTCACCCCCAGCAGGTCCTAGTGTGTGATATTCCCCTCCCTATGTCCATGTGTTCTCATTTTTCAACTCCCACTTATAAGTGAGAACATGAGGTTTTTGGTTTTCCTTTCCTGTTTAGTTTACTGAGAATGATGTCTTCCAGCTTCATCCATGTCCTTGCAAAGGACATGAACTGATTCTTTTTTATGGCTGCATAGTATTCTACGGTATGTATGTACCACATTTTCTTTATAAACCACTTTCTTCCTTGATCTCTGTAAGTGAGGGGTATTGGCCGTCCTTTAGTTCCTTAAATTTATTACAGTTGCCCCTTGAACAAATAGGCTTGAGCTACATAGGTCCACTTACATAAAGATTTTTTCAGTCAAATGCAGGTGGAAAATACAGTATTCATGGCATGCAAAACACAAGTATATGGAAGGTTGGCATTTTCTATGCTCTGGTTCTCCAGGAGTGAGTGCAGGAATTGAGTGTGTGGGGATTTTGGTATCTGAGGGTGTCTTCAAACCAGATCCCCAGTAATATAGAAGAACGACTGTATATGCTCTATGCTATTGGGCCTTTCAGCGTTTTATCATCTCCCTCTTGCCTCTTGGTCTAGTTAACTTGTGATCTTTTAGAATGCTTTTTACCATTTCTAATGCTACAACACTTGTAGGGGTCAATATTATTTCCTATTGGATGATAGCCACATAATCTGTTATTGTTTCTACTCTTTTCTTTCTAAAGTTACTCCACATGGCAGTCAGAGTGATAATTCTAAAATATAAAACACGATATCCCTTTTCTGCATTGTATATGAGATCCACAGGACTGTTTCCTTTTTTTATTTTTTAATTTAATTTAATTTTTATTTATTTTCTTAATTGCATTTTAGGTTTTGGGGTACATGTGAAGAACATGCAAGATAGTTGCATAGGTACACACGTGGCAGTGTGATTTGCTGCCTTCCTCCTCTTCACCTATATCTGGCATTTCTCCCCATGCTCTCTCTCCCCAGCTCCCCACCCCTGGCTGTCCCTCTCCTATTCCCCGTAACAGACCCCAGTGTGTAGTGCTCCCCTCCCTGTGTCCATGTGTTCTCATTGTTCCTTTTCATCATTTACATCTCAGCTCAAAAATCAGCTTCTTAATGCTTTCCTTGAAGTAGCAGATGATTATAAAGAGGAGTATCTCTCACAAAAGGTGGTACTTTGTCTACATAGAGACAAACTGTTTTTTTCTTTTTTAAAACTCTACTGAATCTTTGTATATTCTGTCTACTCTTAATAGAATCTTTGTGTTTTAATTCTTGATTGTAATTCTATATTTTTAAAAAGGGTTTAGAAAGTATTTTATATATATGTAGAAAATGTATATATATATTTTCTAAGTGTATAGTTTAATGAATTTGCACAAACTGAACTTACCCAGAACAAAAACAATACCCTGGAAGCCCCTCTTATGCTCCCTTCCAGTCACTGCTTCTTGTCCCTGTAGGGATAACCAACTACTCTTCTGACTTAACACATTAAATTAGTTTTGGCTGTTTTATATTTGATGTAAATGAAAACATATAATGTATATGTAGCTTCTTTTGCTTAAGAGTTTATGTTTGAGTATGTAGTTATTGTTCATTCATTCTTACTAATCTCTGGTTACACAGCTTGAAATATAAGATGTACCTAAAGGACCATGACTATTGTCTCCAATCCCCAGGATTCATTTTGTCCTAGATAAGTCTTGAAATCAGATAGTATGAGTCCTCCAACTTTGTTCTTCAGTATTATGTTGGCCATTCTAAGTCTTTTGCCTTTCCAAATTTTAGTACCTTCCTTTTTCCATGTAAATTTTGTAATTGCTTGTTGAGTTTTACAAGCAAGCACACTAGAATTTACATTGGGATTTGTTATATCTGTAAATCTGTTCAGAGGAATTGGCATCTTAACAATATTGTTATAGTTCATGAACACGGTGTCTCTCCATCTGTGTAGAATTTCTTTAATAAGTATTTTGTAAATTTTAGCAAATAGAACTTACACATATTCTGGTAGATTTGTACTTAAGTATTTTATGGGTTTTTTTTTTTTGGTACTGTATTTGGAACATAAGTTTCATGTTTTGTTCTTTGCCCTATCTTCAGTCTCTGAGATACGGCGCAAAGTCTATTGAATGAGTATCTGTCTGCTGTCAAAGAGTTCATACTCTAGGAACTGAGAAAGAAGTACACAATTAAAAGATGGTACAATTTAAGGGAACAATTAAAAAAAATTTTTTTGGGAGCTCCAGGTGGGAGCAATAAAGTTCATGTAACAGATTGCTTTTTCTTTTTTTCTATCAGATTTGAAAGAAGATAAATCTAGGACAAGGTTGTTTAATGATGCAGAAAACAAGAAGAATTCAATTAAAATGTGGTTTAGCCCTCGAAGTAAGAAAGTCAGATATGTTGTGCGTAAAGTTTCAGTGCAGACCCAGCCTAAAATAAAAAATGATGTAAATGCTCAGCAAGACTCCATGTATGAATTTGTTTCCACAACTCCTCCTGCAGATGTTTCTGAGAAGGCTAAAACGGCTTCTGCAAGATCTCTAAAAAAGCAAAAAAAGAAAACTTTAGCTGAAATCAACCAAAAATGGAATTTACAGGCAGTAAAAGAAGATGGCAAATTTGACACCAAAGAGGAATCGAAGCAAAAGCTGATATCCTTCTGTAGCCAACCATCCGTTATCACCAGCCCTGAGATAAATGGTGAAATAGACTTACTAGCAAGTGGCTCCTTGACAGAATCTGAATGTTTTGGAAGTTTAACTGAAGTCTCTTTACCATTGGCTGAGCAAATAGAGTCTCCAGACACTAAGAGCAGGAATGAAGTAGTGACTCCTGAAAAGGTCTGCAAAAATTATCTTACATGTAAGAAACCTTTGCCATTAGAAAATAATGGAAAACGTGGCCAAGACAATAGACTTTCCATTCCCGTTTCTAAGAGATGTAGAAGCAACAATCTGAACACCAGTGGAGATTTTGTTAAGCAACTAGTGCTCTCAGAAAATACTCCATTGCCTGAAAGTTCTCCAGACACTAAGAGCAAGAATGAAATAGTGACTCCTGAGAAGGTCTGCAAAAATTATCTTACATCTAAGAAATCTTTGCCATTAGAAAATAATGGAAAACGTGGCCAACACAATAGACGTTCCAGTCCCATTTCTAAGAGATGTAGAAGCAGCGTTCTGAGCACCAGTGGAGATTTTGTTAAGCAGATGGTGCCCTCAGAAGATATTCCATTACCTGAAAGTTCTTCGCCACCTTCATGCAAACGTCAAGTTCATGGTACATCGGGGAGGAAAAACAGTAATATGTCAGACGAACTCATTAGTCTTTCACCAGGTACACCACCTTCTACATTAAATAGTTCAAGGTACAGACGAGTGACATCTAGTCCCTCAGCAATGAAGCTGTTACCCAATATGGCTGTGAAAAGAAATCATAGAGGAGAGACTTTACTCCATATTGCTTCTATTAAGGTAGGATGCTTACTCTGAAATGCCATCTCAGAATGAGGCTAACTATAATTCAGTTTCTTTGCAGTTTGTGAAAAGGGGCGTAAGATTACTAGGATAATTAACCTTTCACAGGCGTGATACTTCCTCTGAACCAGAGAAGCAAATTTCACAGGGAAGGCATTTCTACTTCACTTTGAGCAGTGGCCCGAGTCTGGACAGCATGATCTTGTAGGAAAAAAACGATATTTGAATATTTCAGCTTTTACTTTGCCAAGTGCTTTTGCTTTTGTCTATTTTATCTTCAGTTTTTATCATTTTGTTTACCTGGTCTCATGCTTTATGAATGTAGACAATTGGTAAGTTATTACAGGTAATAATGTTTACTTAGTAAAAGAGCCCACTAGAATTTGGAAGGTTGAAAGACGTGGTCTGGGCCGGTCGCGGTGGCTCACACCTGTAATCCCAGCACTTTGGGAGGCCGAGGTGGATGGATCACGAGGTCAAGAGATCGAGACCATCCTGGTCAACATGGTGAAACCCCATCTCTACTAAAACTACAAAAAATTAGCTGGGCATGGTGGCGCGTGCCTGTAATCCCAGCAACTCAGGAGGCTGAGGCAGGAGAATTGCCTGAACCCAGGAGGGGGAGGTTGCGGTGAGCCGAGATTGCGCCATTGCACTCCAGCCTGGGTAACAAGAGTGAAACTCCGTCTCAAAAAAAAAAGGAAAGATGTGGTCTGTACATTTCTCCAGTGACGTGGACATTTGACTATTAGAAATGGCTACTCTGGTTCACCACAAAGGAGCTGCTTTTTGCCCTACAATCAGCCATTCCTTTTTATTGACCCATTCATTGACGTTAATTCTCTTTAATTATTGCCTCAACACCTGGGATGTGGCAGCCTTTTTCGGAACCTGGCCTGTTTTCTGAACACTTGGCAGTGGCTAATCTTTGAAAGTGACACAAATACTATAAATTAAACAGAGCAGTAAGCACCGTAGCTTTATAGGCTTTGCTCTGTGATTTAATACAAGTGTTAGGAAAGTGTGATATGGTAGACCTTAGTACTAAATTAGGATAGCTTTCATGCTCTCTCAGTGACTTTACATAGTAAATTCACCCAAGAAATCCTTTGGTCTTCTGGATGGGTAGAGAACTTTGGGATGTCTAGGAGGAACCACTTGGAGGCCTACAAATATAAGGCTCATTATGGGCAACATTAAACATTTGGGAAGAACATGGAGTAGGAGTAGACATTGAGTGTGGTCTCAAGATTTCTGTATTTCTGTCTGGAGAAAGAGCATAGTACAAAATGAGCTTATCCCAACTGCTGCTGGTTCATTTTCCTTGCTTTTCTTACAGATTAATGAGAAATATAGTCAGCTTTGGGTATCTGTGTGTTCTGTGTTTATGGATTCAACCAACTGCAGATCAAAAATATTTGGGGAAAAATCAGTAACAATATGTGATAAAAAGTAATGCAAATTTTAAAATACATAATTATTTACATAGCATTTGTATTATATTAGGTATATAAGTAATATAGAGATGATTTAAAGTATACTGGAAGGACTGTGTAGGTTATTTGCAAATACGTCATTTTATATGAGAAATCTGTGGATTTTCGTTATCTGCTGGGATTCTGGAACCAATTCCTCACAGATACTGAGGCATGACTACTCTATTTCTGATACCAGTGAGGCAGGCACCTTACAATATGACCACATAACCTTTGGACAACTTGAATTTTTGGACTTGTCTCTGGGTGTGTTTTAATTTGATTTCTCCAAACCTTGACTTGCAAAATAAGACTTCTGTGTCATCTTTGTTATATACATGCATATTATGCATACATATAAGCTATTCTAATCTTAATAGGAAGTTATTAATGCTTCATAAATGTAAGTAGCTAGTGTAATTATTTTTGTTTATTTTTCTGACTAATATATAATACTTTATATATTTTGCTTTTTGGGAATTTTCAGACCATCAGGTAAGCATTTACTTATATTGGTGGAGACTTTTTCTTCTAACCGTAAGAATAATTTATCTTTATTAATCAGGATCCCTAGGGTCTAGGCCAGAATTTTGTAAATTCTTTCTTAAACGGGCAGTTAGAGTAAACATTTTCAGCTTTGCAGGCCATGAAGTCTCTATCATAGCTGTTCAACTCTGCTGTCGTAGTGCAAAAGTAGCCATAGACAATATGCAAACCAGTAATTTTTTACATACAAAATTGGGTAGTTTGCCTACTCTTGGTCTAGGCATGGGAAGAATCCGTAATAGAATATTAAATCAGGAAAAAATGATGGCATACTCCTGTCCTGGTGAATTTTCTTTATTGATATGTTCGAGATTGCTTCATATGAGTTTTGTCAGTTTACTTAGAGTTTTGCCAGAATTAGAATAATCCATCTTTATTTCTTTGAACTTAATTATTAAATGCAATTATTGTCACCACTTGTCATTATGTTACGGTAAATTTTTTAAAAGTTAATTGATTTTTTTATTGTTTGTTAAATCACCAATTAATAGTGTCCTTTAAAAATTTTTTGAATTGCATATATGCCTCTGACCTTAGCTTTATTTTAATAGACAGATTCTTAAAATCAGTAGATTTGTTAGTGTGTGTGTATATATATATTTTCTTTTTTTTTTTGAGAGAGTCTCATTCTGTCACCCAAGCTGGAATGCAGTGGCATGATCTTGGCTCATTGCAACCTCTGCCACTTGGTTCAAGCAATTCTCCTGCCTCAGCCTCCTCAGTAGCTGGGATTACAGGCACCTGCCACACCGCCTGGCTAATTTTTATATTTTTAGTAGAGACAGGGTTTTGCCATGTTGGCCAGGCTGATATCTAACTCCTGACCTCAGATGATCCGCCCACCTCAGCCTCCCAAAGTGCTGGGATTATAGGCATGAGCCACCACATCCAGCCAGTCTTTTTAGATGAGATGTGAGGGTTGTTTCCAGGTTTTAGAGATTATCACATTCCTTAGTTTGTGGTCCACTTCTTTTTTTTTTTCCACTGCTAAGAAATATCTTCTGCCAGAGGTTCTCTTCTTTATATTCATATCCAGCAGCTGCAGACTGAGCCCTTCACACATCTCATCTTTCTGACATAGCTAGGAAAGACTCTCTGCTTTTAAGGATTCATATGATTAAATTGGGCTACCTGAGAAATGCAGAATAATCTCCCCATCTCACGGTGCATACCCTTAATTACATTGCATTGTCCCTTTCACCATGTAAAATAACATATTCACAGGTTCTGGGGATTATTAGTGTGGACATCATAACTTTTTGACCACAGCACTGAAGTAGCTTTCTAATTTCTTGCACGAATTTCCCTTTGTATTTCCTGGAGTCAGTTGTATATGTAACAGCCAGAGTTACATATGCAATCTGACTGAAGTCAAAATTGTCATTTCTCTGCTCTCCAATCAATAACTCGTTTTTATATTCCTCTTCCTATTTGAATATCTTCTTAGCTCATGTTCCTGTTTGAATGTCTGCATCATCTGTGTTAAACTGCTATTGAAAACACTGTTGTGAATGGAAGATTTTTATGAGAAAGCATTGTGCCTAAGTAGAAACTAAGATAAATACTCATCATTTATTCTTCTGATTTATTACCACAGTTACTCTTGCACCAAGCCAAGAAAAAAACAAAATATTAAAGACATAGAGAAAATTTTCTATTTTCTATTTGTCACCTTTGCTTGAGAATTTGTGCCATACTGACCTTCCCCTTTTCCTCCCCCACATCCCCCCACCAAGTTCTCTAGCACAAATTCTTAAAATGCCAATGGTCACTCATCATTTAAGCCCCAGCAATGACTTACTGTGGAATAGAAGAATGGCTTGAAGATGGCATGTCATGATGTATTAGTGATGTGGACATAGTAGGTAATGTTTTGAAGGCAACTTACAAGCATGGTATGCTTAGAACATAACAAAGGTGGTGAAGATCCCTTGTGAAAAGTCTCATTCAGAGTTTAACTTTGTAGTTTATTATACTGTAATGCAGTCATGTTATATTGTGTGTGTAATTATTATGTATGCTTCATGGTAGCTTCATGAGAAGGTAGCAAAGGACACAAAGCAGCCTTGGCATATATGATATTTTCAAGAGTTTGATCTCTAAAACACCTCTTGGAGTCAGTATCTGTTTTTTCCCCTCTGTCATCCCCCACATATGTATAAGTCTGCTTTAGTAATACCAGTAACTTATTGTACCATTAACTAGGTTATCAGAATTATCTGTTAAATTACAGGCATATCTTCTTTAATTGCACTTCACCTTTTTTGTGCTTCACAGATACAGTTTTGTTTTTGTGTTTTTTGACAATCCTGCATTAAGCAAGTCTGCCTGTGCTGGGTTTTGTTTGTTTCTTTGTTTGTTTTTTTAACAGCATATGCTCAGTATGTCTCTGTGCCACATTTTGGTAATTCTCACAGTGTTTCAAATCTTTTCACTACTCTTGTATCTGTTACGGTGATCTGTGATCGGTGATGTTTGAGGTTACTGTTGTAATTGCATTGGGGCATCACAAACCCTGCCCATGTAACACGGCAAACTTAACTGATAAATGTTGTCTTTTCTGACTAACTGGTAATTCTCCCATCTCTCTTCCTTTGAATCCCTATTTCCTGGGACACAACAATATTGAATTTAGGCCAAATAACAACCCTACAATGGCCTTTAAGTTTTTAAGTGAAGAGTCGCTCATCTTGTCCTTTATATAAGAAGCTAGAAATGAAGACTGAGGAAGGCATGTTGAAAGTTGAGATAGGCCAAAAGCTAGGCCTCCTGCCAAACAGCCCATATGTGAATTCAAAGAAAACGTTCTTTAAGGAAATTAAAAGTGCTACCCTGGTGAATACACAAATGAGAAGAAAGCACAACCACCTTATTGCCAACATGAGGAGAGCTGGATGGTCCGGATAGATGATTGAACCAACCACAGTATTTCCTTAAGCCAAACCTTACTCCAGAGCAAGATCCTAAATCTCTTCA